CTCTGGGGAGCGGTGGCAAACACGGTCAGCGTTAGCCGAGAGGCTTGACTGCACAGAGACCATAATAAATCAGCTGCTTGCAGACTCACAGCAAAATCCTATCACTGAGTGGTGAGTGACAATTAAGCTGCACCTGGTGGCAGGCTATAAAGCCACACCCCCTTCCCCTGGTCTGCGGAAAAATTGTCTTCCACGAAACCTGTCCCTGGTGCCAAAAAGGCTGGGGACTGCTGCTACGGACTGTCTACACCTGCTCCCGACCTGCCACACCCGAGCTCTCCAGCGCTGCTCTGGAGCCACACCGACGCTCCCGGGGGAGAGAAGCCTCCACCGGGGGAGCCGCCTCTCCGGGACTCCCCACCCCCAGCTGCGCCCTCCTTTGAGGGAGCACCCGGAGCGCGAGGGCTGCGGGATGGCTTCGGGCCCCAGGCGGGCAGCCTGCAGCAGGGTTGGGTCAGCCTCAGACTGAATCCTTTCCACCCAGTGGCCCCACGGGACCCCTCGGGCTTCTCCTTGCAGCACCTGCTCCTTCCAGGGGGTGGTGCACCCAAAGGTCCCATCCAGGGCTCAAGGACCCAACGCTTCTTCAGGGGCCTCTCAGCACCCAGCCTTGCCCCTCCCTTCCCTGCCCCTGCACTTTGCTCCCTGCCCTGCTTCCCAGAGCGATCGCAGGCAGCTCCATGCCCAGGGCCCCCGGGGATCGACAACCTCTCTGGACTCCCCCTCCCATCCTCCACTTGGGACTGAGCCCCGACACAGGGTCTCATCATTGTCCTCATGGTCGTCACTGGTTGATCACTCTGCGCGAACTGTCACCTCTGGATTCCCTCGGCCTCACACCAGCCCTGGTGGCTGCCGCGGCTCCGGCCCCCAATGCTCAAATGAATAAATGAAATTGAGAAACTAGTCCAGGGCCACCCAGTGAGTCAGCACCACCGAGGGACCAGCGCCAAATGCCCCGCGGCCTGCTCCTTAGAAGACCTGCATCAGAGCCTCCAGCTGGGCCCGTTTCGGGCATCGGGGTGCAGGGGCGAGGAGCCACACAGAGACGGGGCTGCCCGATAGGGCAGCGGACTCTCCGGGGTGCCGTGCCTGGCTCCACCGGTCGGGCAGGCGGGAGCCAGTGAGCAGGAGGGGGACAAGCGACCCCCCTTCCAGGCCCTCGGGCCATCTGCACCTCCTGTGGCGCACAGCCCCTCATGGGCCTGGCTTCTGCCTCCCTCCTTGCTCCCCGGTCCCCACGAGGTCACAGCCGCGAGAATGCCCCAGGTGCTGTTGCTCCCACAGCCGTGACGCCAGGGGCCACAGCCAAGGCAAAGTTTGGTCACCTCAGGACACAGCTACTTCCACAGCACCCCATACCCAGCCTCCCTGGGGGCCAGCCCTGCTGGGAGGCGGGGACACGGGAGGCCTCAGCTTACAGATCTTCCAGGTTCTGCACTGGGTCCCAAGGCCGAGTTACCCTAGAAATCTGAACCCCTGAACAGGAGCTGGCCGTCCCTGATGTGGGAGGGGGAGGTGCTGCGGCCCGCAGGAGGCAGTTCAGAGCCACTTGGACGCCAGGACATGGCAGGTGGCCTCCTTCCTGCCTGAGTCCCCACCCATCTACCTATTGGTCCCTCCCACCTACTCCCGTGCAGGGGAGCCACTAAGTCCCCCCCAAGGCAGCCTCCTGCAGTGGGCCCTTCGTGAAGTGGGGGGAGGTGAGGAGGCCCTCTCTGATCTTGAAGGAGGCTGAGCTCAGCCCAGCCGCAGTCTGGCCCCGGTGGACAGGCCAGGCGGGCAGCAGGACCCACTGCCGCCCTGCATCACCCTGACCGCCCAAGCCTGCACGCCGCCTGCTCTAGGCCCCGGCTGACCTCCCCAGGGGCCCCCCTCTGCCCGGGTCCTGAGCATTGCCCATTTACTAAGAGGCGATGGGCCCTGGGACTCCTGGGCCTGGCTTCTGCCCGCACAGAGCCCTTTGTCTTTCCCCTGAACGCGGCTGGCCCTGTCCCTCCAAACGCTGCCGGCCCGGGCCCCCAGAAGCCCACCCGGGCCCCCAGCAGAGCCCGCCCCTGCTGCTGCTCTGCCTGCTGCCTGCAAGGCCCTGACCCTCATCCCTAGCGTCTTGCTCGAGGGTCCAGTCTTTCCTTGCCTGTCAGAGCCGGAACCTCAGGCTCTGAAACGGCCTGCCCAGGTGCTGCCCCGCCGCCACGGCCCTCCCCCAGCTTCCACGGGCTGGGGGGCTGGGCTGAAGTGGTGAGCGGGCTGGGACAGCAGTTCAAGCGATGGGGAGGGCACAGGTCTGGGAGCCCCCGGTTTTGGGGGGCCAGGAAGAAGCTCCTGGCAGCTTAGGCTAAGGGGGCCCAGCTTCTCCTTCCCAGGGAGGTGGCAGTGGGGGGGCCAGGCCCCAGGGAAGGGCTGCAGCTGTGGCCATACTCGTAATGGGGTTCCCAACCGAAGGCAGAGTAATCAGGAGACCTGAGCCCCATGGACCATAGTCTCCCTGCCCCCGTACCCTCTTGGCTGAAGTAACACACCTTGTACCCCGCACTCAGGTAAGGGGCAACACTCAGAGGGGCACAGGCTGGAACCAGGCCCAGGGGAGGCTCGCTGTTAGCCGGCACGTGGGGCAGGGAGTGGAGAGGGGACCTGGGTTCACCTCCTCTCCAGGACTTGCACCCATCCTCCCCTTGGTCAAGAGGGGCGCCCAGGCTCTGGCCGGGTGGCTCATTGGGTCAGAGCATCCTCCCCACACGCCAAGGTTGTGGGTTCAATCCCCAGTCAGGGCACATGCAAGAAGCAACCAAGGATGCATAAGTAAGAGGAGCAACAAATCCATGTTTCTGTCTCTGTCTCTCATTCCCCTTGCCTCTTCCTTTCTCTCTTTAAAATCAAGGAATAAAAATTTAAAAAAAGAAGAAGACGACGACTTTCCTTCTGAAGCTCAGGATGTTGGGATGCTAGGGAGGGCTGTGCGGCTGGAGCCGGCCCCTGGACGGCTGCTGTCTTCCCCGGGGACGGGCCCCCAGCAGACCCCTGGCTGCGCGCTACCGCCTGAGGGCTGGCCGAGCCGTTGCGCAAGTGTGGTCCAGGCTGGACATGAGACCCGTCTGCAGGGCCTGTCTTGCCAAGGCCTACATGTCCTTCCTGGCCCCGGGCTTCCAGGATGCCACCCTCTCCTGCTGCTTCCTTCCTCTTTGGCGACCCACCCACCTCGTGCCTTCCCACAGACCCGGGCCCCCTGCCCTCGCCCCAGGCGTCAGTGCCTGGGCCCCCGGCCTGCCTTAGCCTGGCTTCCCCGCAGGCTTAATACAGTTGTCTACATCTAAGAATGAGAAGAGTCACATAAGAGCCCAGATTCGGGCTTTCTCTTGAGGCCTCCAAAGATCTGGCCCAACTGGGCCCCCCCAAAACAGGGACACCCCTTAACAAGGAAGGCCCAAGTCACCCCCTCACCACACCTCAGGCCCTGGGCGTGCCCAGGGACAAGAAACCCTGCCCCCAAGCCCCACAGTTCTGCGGCTGAGGGTGCTCTCATACGCCGCAGGCCCGTGGCGTCCCGGCCTCCTCGATGCCCCCTTCAGGGGGAGTGGCCCTAAATGGGGCCCCTGGAATGCCCTCACTCTGCTGCTCTGGGCACTGGCTCCCCTGTGCCAGCCGGGCCTCCGGAAAAGGAGTCCTGGTGGGCCTTGCGCTACGATCCTGGCCCCAGGGAGAGGCCTGCGGCTGCCGCAGGAAGCCCACGGACACTGTGCCCTGGCCGGGGACAGGGAGCAGGGGCTCACTGCCCCGCCCACCGTCAGATGACGCTCCACCAGGGCGCCCTCTGCCACTCTGCTTGCACAGTCACTCTCCTAAATGCCCCAAGTGCCCTCTTCCAGGTGAGACGCTCCACCTAGAGACCTACAGAGGACCCTGCCCCGGGCATGCCCACCCTGTGCCATCTTGGCCTCCCCCCAACAGGCGGCCTGTGCTAGGCTGGGCGGGGCAGGCGGGAGCAGGTGGGGGCCGCTGGGCTGGGAGGGCCAGCTGGCGCTCCAGCCCCCTGGAGTGGGGCGTCGGGGGCAGGGAAGCAGGCGCCCGGAGGCAGGCAGAAGGTCTGCTGCCTCAGCCTGATCCTGCCTAGGCCTTCCGCAGGGAGGCCAGCAGGCAGGAAGGAAGCGGCTTTTCCTGGTGCCTCCTGTGTGGGCCCTACCATCCCAACCAACACCAAGTGACTCCAGTCGGTGCGGGTGCCTGTCTCCCCTGCTGCTGCCCCCAGGTGTGCTGCCCAGATTCAGAGGGCTGTGGTGGTGGACTGGCCAGCCCGACCAAACTTCAGGTGTGGGGTGACAGCCCAACGACACCACGCGATGTGAGTTAACCCGTCCCTGGGCCTGGGCTGGCTGCTCGCGAGGCCCTCCGCACATTCCTGGGCCAGCAGCCCTGCACCCAGGAGGGCCCTGGGGAGCAGATGTCACAGGGGGCTGCGGATACCCCAGGGAGCGGCCTGCAGTGGGCTGGAGGGAAGGGTGGTGTGGGGTAGAGGGTCACTGCCTGGCTGTCCCCTGACACCTGTCTCAGGAACACAGTATCTACTCCTGCCCAGGTGCCTGGAGCTGCTACCTTGGGAAACATCTGCACAGCCACCGCTGTGACCTTGTGTCTCTGTCCCTGAGAACTCCTAGGTCCCCAGCTGCCCAGTGGGCGCGACCACCCCTAGCATGGGCGTAACTGTACTCATGGAGGCGGGACCCAGCGCCGCATGGGGTCCCCAGCGATGCCTCGGCCCCACGGCCCTACCCGGGCGGGAGGAGAATTTCGCTATTCCGCCAGCAAACAAGTGGGGGCGAGGATGGGAGGGGCGTCCTCCCGCGCCGCCGGGCGGGGAAGGGCGCCCGCGTCGGCTTCCGGCCGCCTCCCGCGGCGGCCACTGCCCAGACCCGCTCGGCCGCGGGCGCCCAGGTGCGCCCAGGTGCGGGATGAGTCGCGGGGCGCTGAGAACTCACCTTTCTGGCCACTGAGGGCCGCGTACCAGGAGAGCGAGAGGAAGGCGCACAGGCAGAGCAGCAGCAGCGTCAGGAAGGTGCCATTGCGGAGCCTCATCTCCTCGGGTGCGCGGCGGGCGCCGGCGAGGCCGAGGCCGCATGGCCCGGGAAGCCGGGGCCGGGGCGCGGGGCGGAGGGCGACGGAGGGCGGCGGAGGGCGGCGGGGGCCCCGGCCCCGGGGCGGGGTGGGGCGGGGCCCGGGGCCGGGCGGGGCCGGAGAAGGCTCCTCCGGGGCGCGGGCGCGGGCGCGGGGCGCGGGTTCAGGGCCTTCCTCCGCCACTGGGCCAGGCCGGGCTGGGCTGGGCTGGGCTGGGCGGCGAGAGCCGCGGCCCGGCCTGGATCCGGGGCCGCCGCGGAGTCGGCGGCGCAGGGCGGGGCGGCCCGCATTTAAAGGGGCCGCAGCACCCGCCGCCGCCGCCGCCGCCGCCGCCAGACGCGCGAGGAGGCGGGGTGGGGAGCAGAGCCCGGCTCGCGACAGCGGCCCCCGCATAAGCTAGCGGAGCCGCTCTGGGTTCGACCTCAGGTAGGATGAAGCGGGTGCCTTCACGAGTAAGCTGGGGCAGGTGGCGCGCCCTCGCCCACCCAGCCCGAAACCCCGCCCCGCCATCGGACCCGACTCCCGTTTACTCGGGGATCCCCAGGCCTATCCCCCAGATCTGAGAAGGGTCTAGGCGATGGGAGGGGGAAGGTATGGCTGCAGCCGGTGCGGCCTGCAGCCCGGGGACTCGGCGGAGTGGCCCTGCCTGCACCGACGCCCATGGCTACCTCCCCTCTCAGGACCTTTCTCTAGCATTTGGGGACAAGAAGACACTCCTGCTTCGTAAAATAGGGACAGTAGGGTGTTTTCAGGAGTAAAGGAGCTGATCTGTGTAGGCGTTGGGCACAGTGACTGGCCCCAAACTGGGCTGGCCTCCCAGGTGCCAGTGCAGGGGCGCTGGAGGCGGGCCCTGCCGCAGATGAAGCCCCGGCCGGCCCCCAGGCGTCCAGCTCCGCCTCTCCCTTCCCTGCACGGCGCTTACTTGCACCTTCGCTCGTGCGCCAGCCCAGGCTTTCCCCCGTTCTCTGTGCAACTGGGAAGGGGACAAACCACGAAGGGATTAGTCCAACACAGGCTCTGGGTGGGTGCTGGGGGCCTCAGCACCATTTCTAATAGTCCTGGTCCCTGGTACTGGCTGCAATGACCCTGAGGGCCCTGGGGGAGAGGCCTTTTGGGGATGGGTTCAGACTGGGAGATGCTGGGCATTTGTCTTCTGCTTTCAGCCCAGGCCCACACCAGGGGCAAGATGGAGGCCGGGGAGCAGGTAGGGCCTGGGCATTTGCCTCTGCAGAGAGTTTTCTGTCAGGAGCAGGTGAGGCAGGGCCGGTGGCTGAGGGGCACTTGGTCCGGGGGCCGATTCATTGACTGGCCTCCGTTCTCCTGCAGGCCCGCGCCAGTGCCAAGAAGCGGTACTGCTCTCCCTGCTGCTGATGAGCTGGGTGGCCTGAGACGGGCCTTGTCGGAGCCTCCTGGAGGAAACTGTCTTGTTGTGAGTGCCTGTTTTCACGGGCATCTTCTATTTGTAGCAAGGGATAAGATTCTTCATTTGGGCTGTGATGCAGAGTTTAATTTTCTTCTAAATGTGTATTGAAGTTTAAAATGAGTTGATTTAAGGAAATCGAACCAGTAAAAATTAAGGAGATGGCGTGTCAGTAACGAACGCTTGGGAAGCGCACTTGAGTCCCCGCCCCCTCAGCGCGGGATGGGCCGGAGGGCTGGGCGCTGGGCGCGGCTACGGAGGGCCGGCGCTCGGCCCCGAGGCGGGAGCCTGCGGCGCCTGCCAGCCTGGGACTGCTGTGGGCCGGGTCGGGGAGGAGGGCCATGAGGCCTGCGGTGAGGGAGGGGGGCTGCGGTGGGCGGACTGAAGGGGTGCGCCCTGAAACTGACGGCCGAGTTTAGGCAACCAGGGGGGCCCAGAGGGTGGAGACTGAGGGCAGTCTTTCCAGACCGCCCAGCCAGCCTGTTCCCTCCCACTGCCCCATCAGGATCCCAGGAGGGGTCCTCGGGGCCAAATACCCACTTAGGGACACACAGTCACCCCTCGGCTGAGAACCGGTCAGCACCAGGCTTGACTGCCCTGCCAGGGTTGCTCACTGAGGGCAAGAAGAGGCGTCCCCAAGGAAAGTGCGCTGCCACCCGTAGGGGCTGGAGGGGGTGGCCGTGGAAGAGCAGAAGCCTAAAGGCCCGCAGGAGCGACCTCACAGTGAGGGAAGGCCCACTGCGCGCCCGTTCCTTGGGCCCTGCTGTCCCTCCCAGGAGCCTCTGCACGCCCAGCTGTATCCTCTGAAAGAGCAACAGTTGGCTGGCTCCCGGCCAGTTTTCCAGGACGTTCTGCGTCCTTCCTGCGCTGCGTCCATCGGGGTCTGCCTGCAGCCCTGTCCCGCCGGCACTTCTTGGCAGGTAAGCCCTGCCTGCCCTCCTGCCACCCAGGATGGGGCGCCCCCTCATCCAAGGGTCCACCCTCTTTGCTGGGGACAGCGGCACGGGCCCTGCCCAGGAGGGAGTGGAGCCAGCTGGGCACGGAAAGTCCTGCTTTCTCTCCCGACCGGGCTGTGGGCCTGCCTCCTTTGTTTTTCTTGCTTCCCACAAAGTGAAAATGCCTTTGCATTGGGATTCCATGCCAGCCCTCAGCCCGCACCGCCTTCTGGAGATCTTCTGGGACAGCCCCTGGGGGTGGCCACCCCTTCTGTCCTTCCTCACGGGGCTTCTTAACCTATGGCCCAGGGATCCCGAGTCGGGGAGGTCCAGGAGCGAAGAAAAACAAAATCTGTATTTTTACTAACCTCTAACTGAAACTTGGCATTTCCTTGCGTTGTGAGTGGAGGCAGCGAAGTCCGGCAGAATTCGCAGTGCTTGGGGCAGTCACCCAGCAGGACCGCACCCACTGCCACCTGGCGTTGCTAGTGCTTGTTTGTCCCACCTGTTTCTCGTAATGTGGTGAGCTAACAAAGAATCACAGGTATTTCTGCGTCATAGCTGTTTTATATTTTGGCATTTGCATTTCAGTATCAGCAGCCCTTTTGTAATGCGCTGTGTTGTATGCACCTGAAAACATGGCTCTGCGCGGGGCCCTTGGTCTTCTCTCCACGCTGAGGGTGTCTCTGGCCCAGAGAGAGTTTGGGAGTCCTCGCCTCACCCCTCTACTGGCCCTTCTTCCCTCGGATGCCTCATTTTCCTGTTCACTCAGAACAAAGGCCCATGGGGCTCAGAAGGCTTCCCCTGGGGGCAGCAACCCCGCCTGGAGGACAGAGGCCTCCCGGAGAAATCAGGTTAGCAGGCTGTCTGGGGGGAGGCGCAGTGGCCTGAAAAGTGTGGCCAGGTTGTCCAGCAAATGCAGGTGTCTCTGTTGAAGGACCCTCCCCGCCGCCCTCCAGGGTGGAGGTCGGTGAGCGAGGGTACCAGGGGCAGACAGGGTGGGGCAGGACCCCGTGCCTTGCCCACCTCATCAGGGAGTTGGGTTTTCACCCTGGGGCTACGGGGAGAGCGGCAGGAGGAGTGGGGGTGGCCCTGGAGTCGAGCCAGCCAGGTTTGAATTTTAAATGATGACTTGGGCATAGAGGAGGGACTAGAAGAGAGGAAGCTGGGAGACCATCCAGGAGCTCCTGTGGGGAAAGGAGTCCAGAATAAACTGCTGTGGCATGAAAATTCTTTTGAGCCAAAGGCATTTAAAAATAGGCTTTTTTTTCCTAGCAGAATTCTATGGTCCCAAATCCCCTCCCCAGGAGGAACCAGGGGAAGATTGATCTTATCACCTAATAAACCCAGCTCTTATCTCAAAACTGTAGGTCCTGGCTCCCACCTTGCCGCCCCCCCCCCCCCCCCCGATTTTCCTGGAGTCCTCGTCTCCCCTGTTAGCGCCCTTCGGCTCCTGCTCCCCCGCTGCCTCCCTTACCAAGTTGGTCTAGAAGCCCCAAACTCGAACCGCCTAGCACTTGAATAAAGGTCTGTTTTTGTTCTTGTTAATCTGTTTTACATCAGTTTCATTCACAGTCCCCAACTATGGAACCTAGGAGGGCAGAGGGAAAGCTTTCCTTCCTGCACATGGGCGAGATGAGAGAGGTTGTCTGGAACGGGGAGGGGTGGGGTGACGTGAGCGATGAAAGATGGGTTCAGAACAGTCTTTAGGAGGCTGTGTGCCACTGAGGTCAGAGAGCATGGACTAACCTGGCCGTGTGGCTCAGTGGGTTGGGCACAGTTCTGCAAAGTGAGAAGTCACCGGTTTGATTCCCCGTCGGGGCACATGCTTGGGTTGCATGTTTGGTCCCCGGTCAGGGTGTGTTCCAGAGGCAACTGATCGAAGTTTCTCTCTCACATTGATGTTTCTCACCCTCTCTTCCTCCCTCCCTTCCCCTCTAAAAGTAAATAAATAAAATCTTTTTTAAAAAAGAGCAGGGACTGGAAAGACAGCCTGCCTGGTTCCCAATTCTGGCCCCACCCCTGTGCGACACGAGCTGTGTGGCTTTGTCCAAGTTACTCGCTCCTTTCTGAGTCCACTCCCCAGGGGGTAAGATGGGAGATTTATCAATTAGAATCGGCTTGATTAGGCTGCTGTAATCATCCCAAGCTCCTATGATTCAATAAAGGCGCGTTTCTCCAAGCTGTGTATCTCTCAAGGGTCCCATGGGGCTCTGCTCGTGCTAGTGTCAGCCCAGGCTACGGGAAGAATCTCCTGAAGAGCGAGAGCTTCCGGGGCAAAGAGGAGAGTTCTAGACGCTCCAGCATGGCAGGGAAATAACGCTTGGGCCTCTAAGTGATGCTTGGCTCTTCCGTCTCAGGTCCATGGCCAGAACTAATCACATGGTCTCACCTCAAGGAAGCAAGTGAGTTAACATACATAAAATATTCAGAATCCTTCCTGGCATAAGAGAAGCACTACTTGAATGTTATTGCTCATGTTATTGCTCTTATTATTGGGATGTACAATCAACTGGAACTGCTATAGTTTGAGGACACGGTACGGCCGCAGCTGACCTCACATTTCTGGCCTGCATTGTGGTAGCCCGCGCTGCCCTGGGGACCCCGGGGCAGGCACGGGGAGTGGGGAAGCGGTGGTTCGGTACTCCTGGATTCAGCTGACCCAGACCGAAAGAGGCGCCTGCTGAAGGCCTCTCGTGGCCCAGCCTCAGGCCTGCTGTCGCCCCGGAGCTCGGTGCTGGGGTCAGGCCCCAACCTCTGGCTCAGTGTGGGCCCGCTGGCAGGCAGGCACTCCCGCTCCCAGGTGCCCCCAGCAGGCGCCTCCTCCACCGGGCGTGGGCCACAGGTGCATCCCTGACTCAGCGGGCTGCCGCGCTGTGGTTGGCCACACCTGGGTCATGTGCCTGCCCCACCCTACCCACAATGGTAGGGGAGAAATGTATCCCAAAGGAAAATTTCCATCCAGAAAAGAGATGGAAATTGAGCAGGGTGATGGGAATGGGGAATGCATAGCAAACCTGGAAGCAGGAGGCTTTACACCCCTCCCCTCACCAGAACTCTTGTCTGGGGAAAGGCAGAGCTGAGGATGGCGGTGTGGGCCATGGAGGGCTGTGCCCTTCTCAGTAGCTGCCAACTTTCCCATCACATCTGCTTAGCAAAGTTGCAGTGGCAGCCACCCTGTCAACTTTTGGGTCTAGCCTCCAGGCATCTTTTCTCTCGGCTTGGAGACAGCTAGATAGTAGCCCCTGGGCACCACTCAGGGCACCAGGCAGGGCAGGGGGCTGAGGGCCCAGCCTCAGCCCCCAGGGCCTCCCCAGGCCTCCCTGCACCTGGTCACTTGTACACAGCCTCGCTGCGCCCTCTGTCCTGCGATCAAGCGGCTGGACGCGAACAACGCCGCCGCAAGGCAGCCCTGCCGAGCCTTGGCTGTTGGGTAGTGTGGCGCCAGACGGGGGCGCTGTCCAAGGAGGACCCCTTGCTGTCCTGCCCGAGTGTCAGGATTACAGGGTAGGGGACACGCGGTAGGTCCAACAACTGCACGATCCCCAAGACCCCTCCTCCTTGAACGCTACCTGAGCTCCCCACATTCCAGGCACAGACACACAGGCTGAGCAAAGGGGGTGCCCACAGCCTGCGGGCATGCAAGGCTGTGCGGGAGCAAGGATGGGGGGGTGGCTGCCGCACGCGTGGGAGAAAGGGAGGCAGGGCCCCCCCTCCCCCATGCGGGAGAGGCCTCGGAGCAAGCGAGGGCTTAGATCCCAAAGTCTCATGACTATTCCAGAAGGTTTTCGATGAGAGGGGGAGGAGGAGAGGAGGGACAGAGCCCTGGGCCTGACCCTCAGTGGCTGCCCTCTTTATGTGACCCCACACTTCTAGCCAAGGGAGAGCCGGGAAGTGTGGGGAGGCACCCTCTCACTGCTAGGCCGCGACATGCGCTCCCTGGTGAGTTCACGCTGACCTCTCTGCTGTCCGAGCCAGTTTGGGAGGCCCCGCCCCCCCCCACCTCCTCTTCCCCCTCAGCCTGGAGCTGCTGTCACCCAGTGGGCCAGGCCCAGGAGCCTGGCTCTGCACTGGGTCACCGGGCGATCTCCCACGGCCCCCCACACTTACGCTTCGTGACAGATCCCCTTCCTCTCCGCCTGAGCCCTGGCCACTTCCTCCGGGGCTGCAAACGTTTTCCAGGCCCGACGAGAAGGGCTGGGGACTCAGCGGGAGGGGTGCCTAGCGCGGTCTGTCGGGGCTAACTGTTTCTGCCCCCCTCGGGCACAGGGCTTTGGGACACGCATTTACAGACAGGGCCCCGCACCAGGCCCTAATCCGCCTCCCTTCCCTCGCTGGCCGTTGCGGTAGCCAACGCCCTGAGCGGAAGGTTGCTGACGGCCGTGGCGCGGGCGCGCTCGCCGTCCACCCCAGGGCCTGGTACGGGCAATCGGGCTCCGACAGGCGCTCCCAGCCTCCAGTAGCCGTCCAGGAGGCCTCACACCTTGGTATTACTTAACACTCTATCCATGTCTCTTCCTGGCTTTATTTCCTGGATGAGTTGAACCCCTTTTCTTTAGAAACGCCGCAGCCCCCACCATAGCCCCCATGCCTCTTGGCTAGACTGTGGGCTTTTGCAGGAGGGGCTGAAAGGAGGCGATAGCCATCGCCTGGGGATTTTCCCTAGGGGGCAGCAGTGGGAAAAGGCTCCCGGCAGGAGGAGGAGCCAGGAGAAAGCCACCAACCAGCTGGAGGCTAGCCGCTGTGCAGGGGGTGGGTCCCTTCGGTGGGAGGGAGCGGAGTCCAGTCCCGCGCAGTGTGACCTGGAGGCGTCCCCCTCCCCCCTACTCCACCTAGAACAAACCGTCCCTGGGGCCTGGGGTCTGGAGGAGCTTGATTCTTGTAACCTCAGTCCAGTGGCCTGTCTCTGGCTGGCCCAGCCCCACCTCTAGGTTGGGCTCCGCACGACATGGATCTTCAGTAAATCATTATCAAGGGATGGAGTTATTTTTCGAAGGGTGGAAGGGGGAACTGAGGAGGTGGTTACCATACACCAGACAGCAATAAACCCGACCAGATGGCCTCCTGCCCCCTGCACCCCCCCGCCCCCAGGCCCCTGGAAACTGCACTCAGGTCCCTGCCTGCTCTCCATGCCTTAACCTCCGCCTTGGCCAGAGTCTCCTTTCTGACATTCCCACGCACCAGGCCGACATCCCCAAAGGCAGCCACACAGCAACTACCACACCTAGGGTGCATCAGGGAGAGGGGCCACGCAGTCGTTCTGAAGCCAGAATATCCGGCATTTGCGCTGCCTGTCACTACCAAAATCAATAGCAGAGACAGGGATTGAATCTTTACAGGCACTTTACTCAGATGGCTGTCCACCTGAGAAGACACCAGGGCAGGTTGTGTGCCCTAACAGACTGTCTTCCCTTGAACTATTAGCAGCAAGTTTGTATAGGGGAATCGTGGAGATTAGGGAGGGGGACTTCCCAGGGGGAGCACAGACGTGCAGACACGCTGTTGCTCCTGTGCAGGGGGTGGGGGAGCCGACGGGGTCACACGGCTCCTTCCTGAGCTGGCTCCCTCAGCCCAGGCTTCGTCTCCGTCTGCTTCGGCATTGCTCTCTTCACAGGACCCTTGTGGTTTATGGCCAGGGAGGCTATGTGTTCTCTGGTTAGGGAGGAGAGGTATAAACCATGTGTTCTCATGAGTCCTTGGTTAGAAGAGATAAGGTCTTGTGATTCACCAGCTGGCTGTAACTTGCTCAAACCATTTGGCCTTGTTTAATTTTCTTATCTCAGTTTTTTGTCTCACTTTCTTTGTGTCAGGCTTTTGGGGTTTTTTGTTGGGTTTTTTTTTGGGGGGGGGGGCTCAGTTTCCCATTCCACTTTTCCAGGAATTTTCCTAGCTTCTTACTATGCTGTCTCTGCTGTCTCAGTTCTACTCCAGCCCCACTTAAAGAGGAGGAAACTGAAGCTGGTCATTTGCCCAAAGATGGCAGGGTGGTGGATAGTTGGCCTGATCCAGGCACCAGGCTCCCCGCCACCCCCCAACCCCCGCGTACATGCCATGCCCTGGAAGGTGAAGAGGGGCCCAGTGAGCCCAGAGGAGGTTGGGGGAACTCCCTGCAGCCCAGGGAAGGGAGGCACAGAAGATGTCAGAAGGGGAACTCAGAAGGGGACAGGGTCTAGTTGAGTCTGGCGTCCCTGATGCCAGCTCCCTGCGATGCTGGCCTCTGCTGGCTCTTTTGGCTGCCCAGGCCCTCGGAGACCCACAGCTGCTCTCGATCCCCGCGTCCTAGCTGCCCAGTAAGATGTCATCAAGATTGGTGGCATGGGGCTGGGGATCCCCCTGTTATGACAGCTGGTCATGGGATGCTGACTCACTGCCGGCCTGGCCACCTGACCAGGCCTAGGCTGGCTGAGAGGGCCCTGCCAGGGGGTTCCCCAGCCACAGGCTTGTTTACCTCTCCTGGCCTTGGGGGAGGGCAGGGGAAGGACCTGCACTCCCAGCTGGGCATGCTGGGAAGGTGACAGCCAGGGACCCCCAGGGACAGGGTCTCCAGGCCTGCTTCCCAGAGGCCCTTTCCTGTCATCCTTTTCCTCCCTGAGTTCTCTATTCCTCTCTGCAAACCCCACCGTCGCAGACATTGTCAACGCCAGACGGCCCTGTGGGCAGCCTGTTTCTGTCAAGTGTTTGGATGGGCAGCTCCTTGAGCCCTTCCTGAAACCGGGTACCCTGGATCACAGAGCTTTCCTTGTGTACCCTCCACCCACTCAGCCGCAGACACTGGAGTGTTGGGAGTGGGAAGCTAGGCTCCTGGCCCAGTCTGCAAGGGCTCGAGGCTCCCCTATGCTGCTGAGTCACACCCTCGGGCACCTGTGGGCTGAGCAGCCTCTGCCCAGTACGGCCCCTTCTCCGTCCCTGACCCATCTGTACGGCTGGCCGTGGGCAGAAGGTCACTTTCCCAGGCTCACAGTAAGGTGGCAGGGGAAGGCCTGCCCGCTGCAGGGCTGCCCGGAGCAGGGACAACGCACAGCCGTGCCTGTCTGGAACAGGGACGCTCTGGGAAGGAGCAGCCACAACTGTAGACAGGCCCCAGGCAGGCCCCCCAGGCACCCCTGTGGGATGAGTGAACTGACTCATCAGGTTTCCCCGCTCCCACCATGACTTCGACTCAGCAGGCCTGAGCTTCTGCTCACAAGACCCAGCCTGGGTGGCTTCACAGTGTGACTATGCTCCCCCAGCCCCAGCCCCCCTTCCCCTTTCGCAGGCCCCCTTCTTCCAGGCCTGGTTGAACAGGTCACTTTTGTCACGTAAAGCCTGTTTCTAGGTTCCTAGCTGTAAGGCGGTTGGTCTGACCTGTGAGCTTCCCATGAAGCCAACAGGCTTGAGACCCCCCTAGGTGCTTGGGCAAACCCAGCAGGTGCTTGGCCACCACCTGCTGAGCGAACCCCCTTGCTGACAGGCGGCTGGGTGGGTTCCCACGAGGAGGGTTTTGGGCTGCAGTGCACGTCTGGCGGTGACAGAGGCTGCAGGGGGACCTCAGCACTCTCCCGGTGGGGGGGTGGGAGGGTGTGTGTGTGGGGGGGTGTGCGTGCGTGTGCGTGTGCGTGTGTGTGTCTTGGGGGGTGGTGCTTGTGCGCTTTCAGCACCTGCAAGCCCGACCTCCTAGGAAACGGGAAGCTCCTCTGGAGCGGGCCTGCGGCGGGCGCGCCACTCAGCGCGGCGCAGGCGTCTCGGAGGAGGCAGAGCGCTGGGTGGACTGCCGCCTGGGGCGCGGGTTGCTCCCGGTGGCCCGGGCTGTCAAGAGTGGCCGAGCAGGGGCAGCCCCTCGGGAGCTTGTTTGTTCTGATCGGTGGTGCCTGCCGGATGCCTGGGAGCCTCCTGGCTACGGGCCTCTGCTGTCCCCCTCCCTCCGGTGTGGGGCGCCCTCGGCCGGGTTCTGCTCCGAGGAGTCGCGGCCAGGCCCGGGCCTGCGGCGGGACCCCTGCGCGCGTCCTTTCCTCCAGGAGCAGAAGCCCTACTCCAGATCCAGGTGTCAGAGTGCGGGGCGAAGTTTTGGGGTCTCCGGTGCACCCGGGGCAGTGAGGAGCGAGGTCTGGGAGCAGGGGGTGGAGGAGACCCAAAGGAAACGGCGGGAGCAGCGGCCGGGAGGGGGTGGCACGCGCGGGGCCGCGGCAGGGCGGCTCGCGAGCCGCGGCGCGCGGTGGGGGCGGGGCCAGGCGCGAGGCCCCCGCCCCAGGGGCGGGGCCGGGTTTCCGGCGTGCCTTACAAAAGCCGTTCGCTGGGGGCCGCAGTTACCGGGCCTGACTGCCGCTCCTCAACCGAAGGCGATGGCGTCGTTCACCGTGAAGGCATACCTTCTGGGCAAGGAAGACGCGGCCCGCGAGATCCGCCGCTTCAGCTTCTGCTTCAGCCCCGAGCCCGAGGCGGAGGCCGAGGCGGGCCCCGGGCCCTGCGAACGGCTGCTGAGCCGGGTGGCCGCCCTGTTCCCCGCGCTGCGGCCGGGCAGCTTCCAGGCGCACTACCGCGGTGAGCGGGCTGGGCGCCCTCGGGAGCGGTGCGGGGCCCTGAAGCAGGCCTGCCGGCGGGCGGGTGGCTCCTCCTTCCCCCTTGACGGGCTTGGCGACGCCTGCGGGGGTCTGCCCTGGGTGCTCCGTGGGTTGGCGGAGGCCCGCATGGGCCCCCATTGCAACCTCAGGTGCCAGCCTAGTGACCAAGAGTGGTGACCGAGGCTGGCTCTTGCGGGACCAGGCACTGCCAGGCTCTCCCGGCGGGTCTCAGGCCTGGGGCGGAAGAGGCCTCCCCTCCCCCCGCCATGATGTTGCAGATCTTGGCGAGGGAGCTCTGGGGCGTCCTGCCGGCTGGCGACGGACGCTGGGTGGTCAGGCGGGCACTCAGGTTACACTGACATCTTGTTGCTGTCGAATCTGAGCTAGCTAGTGCCGGGGGCGGGGGGCTCAGTCCTTTGCCCGGGAGAGCCTGGGCCGGCTGGAAGAAGCAGTGACGCGGGTAAACAAGGGTGGGGGTGCGGGGGGACTCGGGGCCGTGCGGCCCCCCGGCGGTTGGGGGCGGAGCAGTCGGGGACGGGCTGTTGAACGCGCAGGCCAGGCTGAGTCCGGACGTTATCGCACTGGTAGTGGGCAGAGGAACAAGATCAAAACCTTCCGAAGTGTTGGTGTGGGACAGGAGTCCAGGAACAGCCCAGTGTCCTGACGGGTGGCTGCTAAGGGAGGGGAGCGGAGGGGAGGTGTGGTGGGGAGGGAGGTGGCCGGGAGGCGGCCAGGAGGCGGGCCCCTGAGCGGGTAGTGCGGGGACCTCCCTGCCGAGCTCCGCCTGCTCCTGGTTGTTTATTTTTGTAACAACTTCACTGAGCTGTAGTTCACAGGCCGTACAATTCACCCATTTAAAGAGTACAGTTTTTAGCATAGCCACAAGTCCAGGTCACCACCTTATAAAGGAACTCCATCCTTCAGCCACTCTCCCATCCCCCCAGACCTAAGTAACCAATAATCTTTTTCTCCATGGATTTCCCCATTTTGGACATTTCATGTAAATATATAAATGTAAATATACAACGTGTGGTCTTCTATAACTGGCTTCTTGTACTTAGCATACTCTTTCCCAGCTACACCAGTGTTGTAGCAGGTGTCAGTGCTTTATTATTTTTTTAGGATACTAATAATTTTATTTTAATTTTTTAGTGCCTCATTTTTTGTGTGTGGCCGAATGATATTTAGTTGTATGGACATACCACATTTTTTTTTAAGATTTTATTTATTTATTTTTAGAGAGGGGAAGGAAGAGAGAGAGAGAGAAACAGTAATGAATGGTTGCCTCTTGAGCATGCCCCCCCAGGGACCCGGCCCACAACCGAGACCTGGGCCCTGGCTGGTCATCGAACCAGAGACCGTGTGGTTCGCAGGCCGGCGCTCAGTCCACAGAGCTAGGCCAGTCAAGGCTTGTTCGTACCACACTCTGTTGATCTGCCCGTTAGTTGATGGTTGTTTCTGCCTTTCGACACTGCCCCTGTTCTTAGGGTACATGATGTACCTGGTCGCCTTCACAGCTGGCCTCGCCTGCAGATGAGCGCTGTGGTTTGACCTGCACGGCGCGGCTTTGAAACCATATGAGCCAACATCTAAATAGGAGAGAGTGCACAAAGCCATAGTTTTAGCTTCATTGGGGGAGGAAGCAAGCAGATGTATTCATCTAATTTACTCTCCTAAACCACAAGAGGCCTTTGGAGGGGCTTCGTTTCCAGAGCAGGTCACAGGTGCGGATCTCTCGCAGTTCAGGATAGGCCTGGGCCAGATGCGAATGGAGGCAGCACCTGTGTGAAGGGCCAGCTGGCCTAGAGGCAGAGCAGCAGTAGCAGGCTGCGAGCTAGTACTGCGCATGCTCCTGCGCACAGGCGCTCTGCCTCCGCCGCTGGCCCGGGGCCCAGGCTGGAGGATGCGCCTCCCAGGCGGTGGCAGAGTGAGTGGCAGCCTGGCAGCCTGGCGTCCGTCGCGCCTCTGGGACACCCCTTGAAGTGCGCCTCTAGCAGCGGCCTTGGCCCTTTTCAGCAGTTGTGTCCAGGTGAGAAGCGCTGGGTGCTCATGTGCTGTCTTTTAAATAATCTAGACGAGGACGGAGACTTGGTTGCCTTTTCCAGTGATGAGGAACTAACGATGGCAATGTGCTATGTGAAGGATGACATCTTCCGCATTTACATTAAAGGTAAGGGACTGCCCTGGGGAGCTGCTGACCAGTAAAACCGGCGGCTCCAGGTTATGGGGCAACCCCCCAGCAGAGGGCGGAGGCGCCATGGGCTGTGGGGCCAGCTGCGGGCCGCCGTTGGGCGTGGCCACCGCTGGGCGTGGCCTTAGAAAGCAGCCTGCGCTCGCCACAGTGGGTGGGGCAGAGGGTCTCTGGGTCCACTCTTGACTGTGTTCAGACCAAGTGCCGTAGGCTGGGGGGTGCTATGGGGTTCATTTTATTTATTTAAGATTTTATTTATTTTTAGAGAGAGGGGAAGGTAGGGAGAAAGGGAGAGAGAAACAGCAACCGGTTGCCTCTCGTGCGCCCCAAACCAGGCAGTCAACCCACATCACAGGCATGTGCCCTGAACACTCAACCCACTGAGCCACGCCGGCCAGGGCTGTGGGCTTCATTCGGGTAAAGGGCAAGACCGGGGCTGTGCAGACATCGCTCCCCGCCGCTTCTCTCCTGCCTGGCCCCGCGCGCCCGGGGAATCCGCCGGTGCAAGGAGCTTTCCGGCAGGCCCTCAGGTGGCTTTGTTGCTGACACTTGAACAACTGAATCCCACACGGACTCAGTGTCTGGAAAGCGGGACCAGGGGCCTGCTACTGATGGTGGTGACAGCCCCGCAGATGTGACAATGGGGAGACTTTGTGGGACCCCAGCTCATGTCTCTCTGCCCTCCCCACAGAGAGGAAGGAGTGTCGGCGGGACCACCGCCCACCATGTGCACAGGAGGCACCCCGCAACATGGTGCACCCCAATGTGATCTGCGATGGTTGCAATGGCCCGGTGGTGGGCACCCGGTACAAGTGCAGCGTCTGCCCTGACTACGACCTGTGCGCCAGCTGCGAGGGGAAGGGCATGCACCGGGAGCACAGCAAGCTCGCCTTCCCCAGCCCCTTCGGGCTTCTCTCAGAGGTGATCAGGGCCTCCCTGCTGGCCAGGGCGGGGGCTGGGTGGCAGGAGCCTCCTGACCCAGCACCGCCTGCCCCTCTGCTTCCTTCTCCCCAGGGCTTCTCTCACAGCCGCTGGCTCCGGAAGCTGAAACACGGACACTTCGGATGGCCTGGCTGGGAGATGGGCTTGCCTGGGAACTGGAGCCCCCGTCCTCCTCGGGCCGGCGATGCGAGCTCCAGCCCCGCAGCCCCACCGGGTGAGCGTGGGCCTGCTGGCTTCTGCAGGGCGGGGGGAGGGCCGCGGAGCAGGAGGGCCTCCCCCAGGAATCCCGCTGTGCCCTGGGCTGGGCACTTCTCGGCCATCCGGGTTATTTAATCCTCAGCAAACACTGAAGAGCGTGGAGTGCTGTCTATTTTACAGATGGCACGGGTGCCTAAGTGCGCAAGAGCACTAATTCCCTTGCCGGAAATCTAGACCTGGCCGTAGGCCCGCTCAGCGCCCTCCAGCGCCCGCGGCTCTGTACTGTGCTGTGTTCTCCTGCGTTAGCTGTCCGGGAGGCCAGAGCCAAATTAGGTCAGGTCTTTAAAAACACAGTCGCAAAGTTAAAAACTATGCATAGCTTGCTTTCTAGGTTTTAGGATTCTGGTTTTAGTACTCTTACTGTGTCCTTTGATTCACCTCATCCTTTGGGACACAGGTGGGGATATCTGTTTGGTTTTGAGAAAATAATATATCTAGGATGTGGCTGATATTTTATACTGCGTGTACTGAGCCCCATGAGGGGTTCTGATCACCAGGGTCATAGATGAAGTGGGGGGCCCAGGGGCCCAGGGGGTGGCCTGGGGTGGGAGGGAGAGAGGAAAGCACAGGTGCAGGCTGCCAGGAAAGGCCCCCAGGGTAGAGGGCACGTGGGGTGAAGGTCGTGGCACTGCAACAGGTGTCAAGGTCATTGAGAAATGTGCTCTGAATTAAACATCGGTGTTTTTATTTTTCAAAAAATCAAAGCTTCTGATCCATCGGAGGACCCCAGTGTGAACTTCCTCAAGAACGTAGGGGAGAGCGTGGCAGCCGCCCTCAGCCCCCTGGGTGAGTGTTTGCCTGTCTGTCCTGTGACACCAGCGTGGCCTTCTGGGGCCTCGGCGGCGAGTGGCTGCTTGCGGCTCTCACCCGAGACGCTGCAGAGGAGTGGGGACGCCCTTGATGCTGGTAAGGAGTGGCTGCCTCAAGCCAGCCTTTGCGGGGCGCTGCACCACAGGCCACCCAAGGCCGGGTTCCCTGACGGAGTCTGAGCTTTCCACACGAGTGCAGGAGCGTTGGCCAGCGTTTGATTGGAATTATCCCAGTAGGGAGGCTGGGCCTTCAATATCTGCCTGTCTGGCCTGTGGGGGATGAACAAGTCTGCATTTTCCCCTCCTGTGAGCAGCTATTTGAGGTGCCTTTTCTTTTTTCTTCCCTCTTTTTTGGAACTCACAACCGTTCCTGGTGCTGCCTGAGTGCTGAGTTCGTGCCGGTGCTGGGGGGCGGGGAGCGAAGCGAGGAGGGGCTCCGTGTGACGCCCTGTTCCTAGTGCCCAGCCTCAGAGTAGATCTGCGGGCAAATGACCTGCAGCATGCGCCCCACAGCGGTGTGACAGGCATGACCTCTGAGGCTTTTGAAAGCACCCACTGTGTCCGCTAGTCTGGATGTGGGTGCTTCAGCGTTAGGCCTGGTGGCAGTGAGGATCAGTTTAAAAAGGTGACGTGGTTCCAGGTTACCACAGATCCGTAATCTCAGACTAGAAGAGACTCGCCTTTGTGGCTGCAGTGGCAACAAGTGTCCGTCGGTCTGTCCCAAAGTTGTCTCCAATGTCGGAAAGAATGCTGATAGGAGGGGGCCCGCACCCTGCCACCACCCACCCTGTGGCCGGCGTGCAGGGAATGACCACCGTCACCTCCAACCTGAGGCTTCCTGTTCATGTGCATTCTGGCCCGGGCGCAGCTTTGAAGCAGCAGTGGCATCTTGGCATTGCTGCTCCATGAAACAGCTCAGGCCACCCATGGTTTCTATGTTAGAATCTAAAGGCTTTTGAGAGAATGAGAAAAAACAGCTGATAGTAAGGCTTTCCAAGGTGCATAAGCAGTGGTCAGGTAATAGTTGGGAGATGAGTTGCATTAAACGCTGTCTGCCACTCATGTAAGGCACAGTGGAGGTAGGTGAGTGGAATTTTGACAGCTGGTCATCCGCGGAATGGGCTGTGGGGAAGGGCCACGTGGACTGCTCCTCGGAAGGTAGTGAGTGGACAGTGGTTCCCAAGCTGCCTGGGCATCAGGTCACCAACAAAGGCTGGTTTTTGTTTTGTTTTGTTTTGTTAACTGACTGATTTTTAGAGACACAGACACACACACTGGTGTGCCGTCGCCCTCCCGCACGTGCCGCTGGTCGCGTCTTGTCGTGCCCCTGACCGGGGAGCGAGCACTCAACCTTGGCGTATGTGGAGGACGCCCTGAGCAACTGAGTTGCCTGGCCAGGGCCAAAGCTGTGTTTTGTTTTTTTAAATTATATATTTAAGTGTATGGAAACTTTATTAAAATTACTTACTCTGAAGAACAGTGCTTTCCTAAAAGAAGGAATGAGACGACCTGGGAAGTCACAAAGTCACGTCGGGGTTCCCACGGGGAACTCTACGACAGTGTGGGCCCCCGTCCACCTTCTGGCTTCTGGGAGGGGCCTGGGAGCTGTGTTTTGGAAGCTTCCCAGGTGACTGTGGGTCACACTTGCTGTTCATGACACCACCTGAGCCCACAGTGTGTTTCAGAACTTGACCAGGATTCCCCACTCAGGACACTTGGGTATAATTTTGGAAGAGCTCAGAAGTCTTTTGGGAGAAGGATAAAGACCTCTTCATATTTTACAAAGTGGGTGGAGTTGCTTTTTGCCAACTAGGGTGGAGCCTGCAGAAGGAGGAAACTTTCCATACAATGTGCCTTCGAATGGCTTCAGTTGAGAGCCGCTGGAGGAACTGAGGGACTGATTACCTTCTGCTGTTGGAGTTATGGGTATTTTCTTATGAGGAACTAATAGCCAGGATGACGCACGGTGCTCACTGCCCAGAAGGCACTGTTCCCAGAGCAGGGCCCTGCAGGGAGGGAGCCAGCACCACCTCCGGCGGTGGGGCGGGTGGGCGGGCTGTGTGCTGTGAGTCAGCGACTTTAGAGCCCAAGGCCGTTTTTTGATAGCTGCCGTGTGAATGGGGCCTACCAAGGCCCAGAACTGTTTGTCGTTGGAGGTCAGTCACTGACGCCTGGACATGAAACAGCAGGGCCTTCCTCCTCTTAAGGGGTCCCACAAAACACATCCCCCCCAACCCCCGCCCTGTAGGCCCTGTAGGCAGCAGGGCAGTCTCGTCAGTCCCGAAGGCTCCAGTTAATTGGCAAGTTGGAGAAGCCCTAGTTTTATCATCTGTGATCCATTTATAGAAGAGTCACGTCATTTACTCACTTAGAGTGAGAAAGTACGTGGTTTCATTGTGCTGTTCTTCCAAGGTCTCTGTTTGTGCCTTTCATAGTGAAGTTGGAGGAGACGGTAAGGAGAAGAACAATCGGAGTATCACAGGTGAGGGCAGCGGCAGTGAAGCCTGCTTTTATCTCCGCTTGCTCCTCAAACTTCACTAAAACAACACTAAAGGGATGGCAAAGTTTAAAGCAACAAGGAAAAAGAGAAAGGGACAGCGATGCCATCAGACTTGGAAGGTGGGAAATGGATGGGTGGCGCGTTGCTGCCCTGGAGGCTGCTGCTGAGAATCAAGGCCAGCCGCCAGCCAGGGAGGCCGGGGACCGGGGCATGGGGCGGAGACCCCAGTAACTGTCACAGAGGGACCTCGGGGCCCTGCTCAGCCGGATGATGGCCCTTGCCAGCCCTTGAGGGAGACCTGGAGCACTTGACCCAAGGAAACTTCAGCTGTAGAGACAGCAGGGACACAGGGCACGGGGAGGCACCAGCCTGAAATTGGGCGCCATGAACAAGCAGTGGGGAGTCTCCATTCAGGAGAGGCTGTGTGTGCAAGAGCCCTACAGCTCTGCCGCCCGGGGTTCCAGGCCTTGGCTGAATCAGAACAGCTCTCTGGTCACTTGCAGGTGGAAGTTCATGGCCCTGCAGAGGGTGCTTTCTATGGGCCTTTTCCTAGTGCCTCCCTAGGGTCAGACAGCCATGGATTGCCACCCATTTGGGAACAGCTCCAAACAAGAAAGAAGGAATTCAGGGAAGGATACGTAACAGGGAAAAGCATGTTAACATCTTCAGTGAGAGAGACACAAAGGCATTTGTATCCATAAAAAAACAGGATATAAAAATAACAAAAAGGAACAGAATGAGAATGTCCTTGGAAATTAAAAAAAAAAGTAGTAAAGAAAAGGAGACGTCAAAAGAAAACTTAGATTTTAAGCTTATCTTAAGGAAACATTCCAAAGCAAGACAACAGGAGAAAAGGGTAAGAAAACTCAAGGGAGGAAGTGAATAAGGAATACAAGTTCTTGGCACTAAGGACATTAATCTCTAGATTGAAAGGGACCCCAGAATGCATTGTACAATGATGAGAAAAGGCTCCGCCCCAAAGCTTTCATTGTCAAGTGTCAGCGCCTATGGCATGAAGAGAGGGCCCTGGGACTCCTCGGGGTTTGCGTAGATGCGTGGGGATTCAACGAGCACAATGTTGGAAGCTGGAAGACAGCAGCACAAGCAAAGACTTCAGAAGTCTAAGTTAAAATGGTGTGCAACCTAGAGTTTTATATCCAGCTAAAATAGTCAGGTGTGGGGATAGAACAAAGTTGTCTGGTATGCAAAGGCCTTGATCATTTTACCTGAGCCTGAAACCTCTCTGTGGCCAAAATGAAGATAAAAACCCAGAACGAGGAAACAGGTATTCACGAGCAGGACCCAACACAGAGGGAGACAGAGGGCATGGCCAGGAGGAAAGGAGAGCTGAGCTCAGTGTAGGGCTGCCTCTGGTCTGAGGGCCGCGGGCCAGGTGGGAGCCCGAGGCTGGCACCCCAGGACGATGGCCCCCAGGGGAAACCAGAACTTAACAGGCATCTGGTCCTTTGAGCCCATGTAGAAAGCTCCAGAGAACCTATTGGAGAACGTGGGGAAAGGTAGCAAATTTAGAAAAAAAAATGGGCATCAATAATGCTACAAAAATAAAAAATCTCTACAAGGACATAAGTCTAGACCTTGGTCCAGCAAAGAACAACATATAGTGGCAGTGCCACATTTTTTTTAACCAAAAATTGAGGTTTTGGAAGGATCGGAAGGGGAGGTGAGTGTTGATCTTCTACAGTAAGAAATGGTAAACTTGAGCAATCAAGACAGAAAAAGCAACGAGGGTTAAAAACTGTCTCTGGGGGGAGGTTGTGCTGTGAGACTCTAAGCTGTGGATGGGTGGTCCTTTGAGAAATTAAAATCGATTAAGAACAGCACTGGTGACTCCCCTCTCCTTCTGCATGTGCCCCAGAGTGGGAGGGACTGCCGGTGGCCAGACCACAGCCTCAGACAGACCTGCAGGGCTGTCCTCCTGCCCAAGCATAATTCTTGTTGATACACCTGTTTTTCGTCTCCCTCGGCTCTACACGCAGCAAGGCGTGGCCCGTGGTCCTCAGCACCAGGATGGGGCATCCTGGCCGCACGAAGTATTGGTCGCCAGTTGCTAGGGCCCAGCCCTGCCTGCTGCACAGCTCTGTCCCGCATGGTTGGGGAAACCAGGCCTCCTTCCAGACTTCCTGGCTCTGAGACTGACCTGGAATATCAGTTCATATTAATGTTTTTAAAAACTGGAGGAAGAGCAGGGTGCAGTAAGAGTTTTTTCTACAAGCCAAGATTTGGGGCCAGGATTTTGGGAACAGTTCAGCCCTTGCAAGGATCCCAAAGGTCAGGGGACAAACCACTTGCCTTCTGGCTGGCAGGCTCCATCCCGGCGCCTGTACGGTGGTGTGACCCCGAGTCCAGTGGGAGCCGGCATCCCCGGCCCCGACGCTCGGGGCCGACCGGGAAGATGCTGTGTGAGCCGCCCTCCGGGGACTCAGGGGTTCTTGTTTCCTCCTCGGCTTCCAGGCATCGAGGTGGATATCGACGTGGAGCACGGAGGGAAGAGAAGCCGCCTAACGCCAGTGTCCGCCAGCGGCACCCACGCGGAGGACAAGGGCAGCTCTTCTGACCCCAGTGCACCCGGCGGGGCCGCGGAAGGTGCCGTGCAGTCTCTGGCCGAGCAGATGGACCAGATAGCCCTGCAGCCGGGCGCACAGTCTGAGGCAAGCCCCCTCCCACAGCTTCCAGCACCCCACCCAGGGCCCCTGCCGGTGCTCGCAGAGCCAGCGGGAGCAGAGCTCTGGTGCAGAGTTAAGTCTGTGTTTATGTCGTTCTGGGACCCCTCCGTTAGACCCTTGTAAGACAAGCGTTCCTCTTGGGCACGCCTGGGCTCCCACAGGAACCGAGGCTGCGGTCAGGTGGGTCTGTGCTCACGCGGGTTTTGTTCCAGGAACAGATGGAGTCGGATAACTGCTCAGGAGGGGATGAGGACTGGACTCACCTGTCTTCAAAAGAGGTGGACCCGTCCACAGGTGAACTCCAGTCCCTACAGATGCCTCGCTCTGAAGGACCGGGCTCTCTGGACCCGTCCCAGGAAGGACCCACAGGACTGAAGGAAGCTGCCATGTACCCTCATCTGCCGCCAGGCAAGTGATTTCAAGCAGTTTTGTATTTCTCCCCCTCTTACTCAGAGCATAGTATCATCTGCCTGTAGCAACACAAGAAGATGTCATGGTCGTCACTGTGGGGCCTGTCTATTGACATGAGAGAAAATTGGGAGTTGATTTTGTCCCCTTGTGTGTATACTAAGTCCTTGTAAGCGCAGCCAATTTCAGTGATTTCTAAAGCTTAACATCCAGACCCGCAATGCTGAAGGCAGATGTGACATAGTGGCGGCACTGGCTTTGGCACTCCAGTCCACCGTCGCTGTTTCCTTATGGAGCTGCCGACCTGACAGGGCCCAGCCGAGGCTCCTGGGGGAGCCGGGCAGGAAGCTGCTGGGGGAGCAGCTGGGTGGGAGGCAGCAGGGCCGGGTGGGGATTGTGGCAGCCAGCGAGCATACACTGAATAGGAGAGGCAGCGGGCCCTCTGCTCGGTTTGTGGCTGTCCCCTGAAAATGCTGTTGAAGACAATATTGAAGGAAAAAACCCATCTGTGGGCCAGATGTGGCCCTCGGGGCCCCCCGGGCCTCCCTCCTCTGCCTTAGAGCAGGGAGGGCCAAGTGCAGCTAATAGCCAAGGATAGTTTTCCTGTTGTTACAGTGGCTGTCTAAAAAGTTAAGGCCGGCGACAGTCAGATGAAATACGAATTTCGGTGTCCGTAAATACAAGTTTTGCAGGAACAGGGCACACTCGTGTGCTCATGGGCTGTCCGGCTGCTTTCATGCTGTCGTGGCAGAATGGAGCGGTCGTGACGGACCGATAGCCTGCAGAGCAGTTTGAAAATCTTTATTCCCTGGCCTTGCGCAGAGACGGCGGGCCAGGCCCTGCGGGGCCAGGCACTCGCCAGCCGGACGGGGTTCAGTGCCTGCGAGCGGCACTGGGGCCCGCGACGCCCCTCACGGCCTCACTCCTCTCTCTGGCAGAAGCCGACCCCCGGCTCATCGAGTCGCTGTCCCAGATGCTGTTCATGGGGTTCTCTGACGAAGGCGGCTGGCTCACCAGGCTCCTGCAGGCCAAGAATTACGACATTGGGGCTGCCCTGGACGCCATCCAGTATTCAAAGCACCCACCGCCCTTGTGACACTTTGTGCTCCCTGTTTTCTGTCCCCGTTCTTGTCTCATAGTTGTGTTGAGCTAGCATAGAACCCCAGGCCTCAGGAAGGGCCAGTGTCTCTGCATTCTTCTTTCGGAATTGGGGGTGGCAATGCATGAAGCCATTTAGGACAGTAGGACAAATGACATGAGGGAGTTCCAAATGTGCTGATGTCTAAAGAGCATTTCCCAGCGTCACCTGGGGGATGGCTCTCACAGCCAGGGTGGGCCTCGCCCCGCTGCCCTCCACCAGCCGGGGTCACGCCAGCCGGGGTCACGCCAGCCGGGGTCACACCAGCAGTCCAGGATAGATCCTGCCTAATGGCCTTCTGCTTTTTTTTAATGACTAATAGTGCACTGACACGTAGCTGATTTTCTGCTGGAGACCTGATCTGCTCGAGTTTGCGGGAACACAGCCACCACCCTGCCCGGGAGGAGGCCGCCCGGGGGCGCCTGGGAGGCAGGACAGCTCAGGGCGGGGCTTCGCATCTGGCAACAGGAAGGGCTGACGGAACCGATGGTGGTCTTTGACCTCTGCCTATTTCATAACCATTATAGTTCTCTCGTTTCCACATGTGTCACCTGCTTTTAAAGGAAGAATATCCCTTTGTAGCCATTCTGTTAGGATATTTGTAAACCACCTGTAATTAAATGGCATAAGCACTTTACTCAAAGATGTTGCAATGAGAGATGGTCCGTTTGAAAGGCATGTTTATTGTCAGTTCTTAGCAGCTGCCATAAATCCTCCTCAATCCCACTAATTAGAAGCAGGGATGCAGATGGGCCTCGTGGGAAAGGCTCACATGACAGACATGGCTACACAGTCACACACCAGCCTCAGTTCACAGAACGTCACCAAAGCCCTCGCCAGCGCTCGAGAGGTCGCACAGCCGCACGAGTCGGGGCTCTGGGGCCCCCCTCTGCTTGAGGGTCTGTGCCCCGCAGTTGCTCACAGGTCCCCCTGAAGGGCCTCTTGGGCTCACGCATGGGAGTGTGTGGCCCAAGGAAGCTGGGGCGCAGCTGCTGTCCTGCTGAGGCCCCTGTCCCTTGCGGTTTGAGCCCTAGTGGTCCCTCTGCGGGGGTGTCGAGGGCTCTGCGTCCACAGGTGGGCTGTTCCCAGGCGGCAGAGGGAAACGCACCCACTTAGAAGGTGTGGCCCTGGCCTGCTGAGCAGCGCGCAGTGGGGCCCCCCGGGCCAGCGTGGGCCTGCAGCGGAGACGAGAGCGGACGGCCGCGTCCCTGGCTCCCACCAGCGCCGGCAGCCTGGCGGGGCTGCGCACCGCCACCCCCTCCCTTGGGCTCTGCCCCCAGCTGGTCCGCAGGCTACACAGCAGGGCGAGGAAGGGCCTCTCATCTCGCTCCAAATCCTCTGCCAGAGCCCAGGACCAGAGTCTCCCCGGAGGGAGGGTATGAAGTGACTCGACAGTCACCTGGTGGGGACCTCCGACTCGGGTGAGGGAGGACCTGGGAGGGCTGAGCTGGCGGGGCCCCTCCTGGCCGCTCACTGCCGGGCGGCAGGAAGGTCCGGGGCCAGGCTGAAGGACCGCAGCTGGGGAGGTGGCTACACGGAGGCCGCCCCGTGGGTGCGGCCGGGGTAGTGGGGGCTGGCGTCCCCGACCCCGGGAACCCGACGTCCTGGAAACCGTGTAATTTGAAAGCGATGACAGGCGGACCCTGCCTCACCAGCGCCAGGCGATATGCGAGAGGCTCTGGCCTGCCCCTGGGTGAACCCAGTCCTCACCTTTCCGAGAAAACAGGCTCGAGGCGAGCACTGAGCATAACCCAGCCAGGAGGGTTGCCCGGGGTGGTGTGTCAGGAGCTGCGTTACCTTCATGCTCTGATGTGGAGCTTCAGGCCACTTCCCTGTGAGTCGCACAGCGCTGAGCGGCAGCTCCAAAGTTCGGCCTCTGCCCCCTGGCTTTGAGCCGGTGCCCTGCCCTGCCGCCTGAGGCCGGCCAGGCCAGCCTTGGTCTATGCTGGGGGCGTCTATGGCGGGGCCCCCAGCCAAGTTCCTCTGCCCCGGCACCCGGGGCTCCTGACAGTGCAGGGCGAAAGCTGCGTTCTGGGGCCCTGAGAGAGCAGTGGGCTCTGCCGGGTTTGAGGCGTCCGAGCACGCGCAGGCCGTGGGGAAGAGGGCGCCTCTGTGCCCAAGAACACACCTGGGTCCACGGAGCTGAGTGGACACGGTTCCCCGGAGGCCAGGGCAGGGCCTGCGCAGGAGCCTGCGGACGGCGCCCCAGGGAGGCGAGGGGCTGGCCCGGCTCTGAGAAGCCCCACCTCGGTGGCCTCCAAGGCATCCAGAGGCCCCTCTGACCGGGGGGTGACAGTGTGAGGCTGTGTGACGCGGGGCCGGTGCCGGGGGAGAAAGGAGAAAGGGGTGGGCTTCAGACAGAGGAGACAAGACCCTGGGGGAAGCTGCGCCTGTCTGGGCTGGTAGGTCTCATACTTCAGTTGCCCACAAAACATGACAATTAATAATTGCTACGTGCGCTCAGTAGTCAGTGGGACCAGAAGAGCAACGCTGTCCTCAATCACCGACCTGCATCTCTGAGGTGACCTCAGAGTCCCCCAGTCCTGGCCATCAGGGCTGTGTGGAGGCTGGGCTGTGCTCTGGCTCCACCTCCTGGCAGAGGGGCAGTGCTGCCAGAACCCAGTACTGTCACCATGGAGCCACCCTGCCATCCTGTGCCACTCCTTGGGGCTGCTCAGCTCCGGCCCCTGCCAGCAGTGCCAGCCCAGGAACATCCAAGGCTGTCCATTTCTCTGCTCATGGCTGAGAGTCGCGAGAAAGTTCTCATTTTGAACGGTAATCTGTCTCCCAATAGCACCTGCCCCGTCGGAGCCACCCAGATCTAGATGGGGTGGAACCTCAGCAAACTCGCCACACCTGGGGAAGAACCCCTACAGGTCAGGTCTTCCCTGCTCTCGGCCCAAGGCCTCCAGAGCTGCCAGCTACTCTGGCCACACTTTGCTTCGTCAGCTCTGCCCGTAAAATAAATCCTTCCCTGAGGTCAGTGCAGCCCAGACGTTCAGAATTCAGGGAGTCTGGGGAAGGTGCCCATGTGGCGCCCTGTGCAGCCTTCACCTCTGCACTGCAGCGCCACGAGCCCAGCCAGGCGGCGGAGGGCAGCGAGGGGCCCCCGCCGGCTCCGCTGCTGGCCACACTCCTCGTTCCTCAGCGCCCCCTCCTGGGGCCAGCATGGGCACGCGCCAGCTTCGGCGCCTTTTCCTCGAAGGCTGGCCCCAGAGGGAGTGTGTGGCGTCTCCCTAGTGGACAAGGACCATCTGCTAAAACGCGTGGCTCCTGGCAGCCCCAGCTCTTCAGAGCCCCTTTCCAGGTACTTCGCCAGCGGTTCCTGGGTGGCTGGGGGTTTTCCTGCCAGATTAGGAAGTGAATTTATCCTCTGAGTTGGAAAGCAGGCGCTTCTCCTGAAAACCCCCAGCCCAAGCCTGAGGCCCAAGGATCTCAGGACCCGTGTCTGCCCTGCCGCCGGGAAAGGCACTTGGCAGGCCACAGCATTCCACGGCCCCGCGGGTCCTGGATGTGTCAACGGTGTCACCCCACTCCCCCTCAAGCCCCTCCACAGACCACCCAGCCACACTGTTTGAGCACCTGCGTGACAGGGCACCCGGACAGAGCTGGAGGGGAGCCCCACTGGCAGGCTCAGTCTGGAGAGAGGGACTGCGGAGACTCCGGGTCTTCACAGCCGTCTCCTCACCAGAGGTGCGCCCAGGGCGCGGGGCAAGGGCGGAGGCCCCAGGAGGTGAGGTTCAAACTAAGTTCAGAGGAGCTCTCCAAGCAGACAGAAGAGTATTGTCATGGTCTGTACACACAGCTGTCTCTACCTTTACAGAAAGGACAGATTTATTCATTCTTGTGTTCCTTGTAGCTTTAAGTGGCTGTCATTCCATAGCTTCGTCAACAGGTGATTACTGAGCAAATGACTGAAGAATGACTTACTGGAGCCCTCGGAGCCGCACCCCGGAGCTGGCACCCCAGTGGCTGGGCTGGCAGGGCTGCTGGCGCACCTGCACGCTCACGGGCTCGGCCAGCCCAGGACCTGCATTGCGCCGTCCGCCGGCACTTACAGGTTCTTCCGGAGACCTTCGGGAAAGACTGTACACATACCCTTTGTAGAAGGACCAGGAAGCTGAAGGACACGAAGGTGGGAGAAGTAGGACGCGAGGACTTGCCAACGAACACCAAAGGCTTCTCGGGGATCTCAGTGTCTCAGGTCTGTGGTTTCGACGTGACTCAGTAACCTTCCAGCAGTTCAGAAGGCCTGAGCCGAAGGGCCGTTTCTCCCAAGACTTAGCCTGGCTGAGCCCTCCATCAACGCGAAAAGGGACACAGGCACGGGGCCGGATGCTTCACCCAGAGAGACCACACTTTGTATCCTGGCTTTGCCAGCGACTGGCTGTCATTGTGACAGTGTGACTTTGGTGTTAGTACTGTTTGCTCATCCATGAGCGGGAATAATACTGCGTGGGTGGCTGTGAGGCTAGACGAGACGTGTGCCCATGAGACAACACACCTGCTTAGGGCCTGGAACAGAGATGAGTGGCGTCCGAACTCCAGCAGCACAGAGAGCACCCGCATTGGCCGCGATGTCCCCATCGCACGGGGCCACTCAGAGCCTTCGCAGTTGCCCTGCGCCTCCCCCAGCTCCGACAGAGGAGGCGTTCTCCCAAGCCTGACACGACACAGGGAACAACTCAGGGGCAGCAGGGCCCTTCGGCCTCGTGAAGAGCGGGGAGGCTGGCGGTCTAGTGGAAACGTGCAGTGCGGGGCGGAGCCACACCCTGCCACGCCAGACAGGGCGGCCGCATTCCCCCACCCAGCTGGAACGCCCCCCCTCCCCGTTCCAAACGAGAACCCCAAACTCTGCCAAGTGTGGGCACCTGTCAGTTTGTTACCCGTGAAAAGAAGTCAGCGACCCTCCCAGGGAGATTATAGTGAAGTCACACCAGGCATAAGAAACCCTGCCCTGCACACGGCTGCCCACCGCGCGCCGCCGAGCAGTGGCCCAGCGTCTGTTGCGTGGACCTCAGCTCCATCAATTGAAGGGCATCTCTCAGCAGCCTGACGACTCCGCTCTCTCTTACGGCTTCTAATGTCCGCCCCCTCCGCACCCCCAGAACTTGGGTGTCCCTTGCTCCTTTAGAAGTGATCTTGCTTCCCTCCAGCTACTTTTTAGATCTTGCTTTTGCCTTTCGTGTTCTCCAATTTCATTATCTTGTGTAAAAGGGCAGATTTTTTTTTTATCTTTCTGTTTTTTTGAGATATTTTTAACTTTTAAAATTACCTTATTGATGGAGGTGGAAGAGGGGATGGGGGATAAATGTTGATGGGAAAAAATGTAAAAATAAAACTACCTTATTGAGGTATAATTAATATATAAGGACTGTCTGGAAAAAGTCCAGCCATTGTTAATGTAATGAGAACGGTTTGCTCAACATCAATGTAAGCAAGGCAGCCAAGGAGAGTGGACTGGACTGCGCACGTGTGAACAATGAGGACCTCACTGTGCTAGTCAAGGGGGGCGGTAGACGCCATTGAGTGAGCGTGTGTGCTGTGTGGCTGTTGCATTCAAAATGACTGAGTGAGCAGAACAATGAGTCAGCATCAGATTTTGCCTTAAACTTGAACATTCCTCTGGGGAAACTATTCAGG